CCTTCCTTCCTTCCTTCCTTCCTTCCTTCCTTCCTTCCTTCCTTCCTTCCTTCCTTCCTTCCTGTGTGTGAGTGTGGGGGTGATTATATACTGGTGAGTGTGGATGTGAAGGAAATCTAAAGCTAAAAATAACAGGAGAGTATTTGTTTGTGAGGGTGTGCTCCTGAAGGTATATGTGGATAGAATGTGTGGGTATGTGGGGAGTTGCTGCATTTATGGGAGAGTATATGTGGGGGTTGGGTGGATGGCTGGAGAGAGAGAGAGAGAGAGAGAGAGAGAGAGAGAGAGAGATGTGGTTAATGGCAGACATGCTTGTGTGAGGATGTGCAGGGAGATGGAGGTGTACATGCGAACAGTCTTGTGTGTAAGGGTGTAGATGAGAAAAATGCTTCCTAGCCCAAGGAAGCCTCTCTCTTAACCTCTGCCCTGTGTTTGTTCCCATAGGTGCCAGGAAGGGGCCATGACCATGTAGACGCCAGCCCTGGGGAGTAGCAGCATGGGCAGCGCTGGATGGGGACGCCTGGGTCTGCAGTCTTGAGACCCACCACAACTGACCTTCGAACTGGGATCCCTGTGTGTTGAGGTGTTCCTTTCCGAGCTTGCCACAGCCGCCGCCACACTGGCCCGTCTCCATTTTCTCCCTTGGAATTGGAGCTGACTGCTCAGAGTTGCTAAAGTTGCTTCCTTCCCAAAAGCTGTGTAGACTTACAGCTCTAATTGGGAACCTGCTTCTTTCTTCCCCTACCTAAAATAAATAGATAAGTAAGAAAATAATAATAACCCTTGGATCTGCCCAAAGTGGAGCAAGAACCTCAGCAAAAATGGGAGACATGACCAACAGCGATTTTTACTCCAAGAACCAAAGAAATGAGGCCAACCATGCAGGAGAGTTTGGGTGTACGATGGAGGAGCTCCGCTCCCTCATGGAACTTCGGGGGACAGAGGCTGTGGTCAAAATCAAGGAGACCTATGGGGACACTGAAGGGATCTGTCGGCGTTTGAAGACCTCGCCTGTGGAAGGTAGGTGCCACCCCCTTGGAATTCCAAATCCTGAGCCCTCTGATGGCCCTATACGGATGTTTCCTTTTTATTTTGAAAGTAGGGCTAGAATGAGAAAATCTGAGAATTGAGGAGCTACAGAGGCATCAGTCAAGAGGGAGATTGGGAAAGAGCCAAAAAAGTGTTAAAATTGAAATGCCAAGATCAGCAAAGATAGCTCTGCTGAATGAGATAGCAATTGCATCCCGAATAGCAGACAAGAGAAGGGATGGAAGGCCTAGGCACAGTATCCCTTTGGTGGAGGATCAGGGTTTGCAGTCTGTCAGCTAGACAAGGAGAGAAACTGAAACCTTGTTTTCCTCGTCTGATCGGTTCCTTTGACGTGAAACCAACCCTTTGGTGTCATTATTTCAGTGGCCAGCTGTTCACTGGAAACCTTGCTGTGCTTCAGGGTCCTCTGTTTTCATGTCCCCTGTTCTGTTTGTCTCATGTGCAAGCGTGGCTCCACCCCCCCCCCCGATCCCTAGAAACAGCTGCTGCATTGCTCGCCTCTCTTCCCCCCACCCCCGGCCAGCACCACCCTGAGCCCCCACCCTGATGTTGTTGCCTTGCAGTAGGCTGGGAAACACCAAAGGAGCTTAGTTTCATCTTTCCATTTAGTGAAATGTATTTGATAGGAACTTTTCTTCAGGGTGAAGAGGGGCCACAATAGTTTATCATATTTGTACCCACTTTAAAAAAAGTTTTGACTCGGTTTTAAAAATGGGAGCTAAATCCTGACTTTTCTGATGCCTCCTCACCTATCTCCAGGGTACCTCTATACCTCAGACTTTACTGGGAATCCCTGGGAATTCTTGAGTCCTAGAGCTGCTGTCTAAGGATGGTATGAGGGCAGTTATGGATTGAGGCAGGGGGCAAGGGGCAGAGGGCTTTCATAGAAAGATAAAGCCTTGGCACTCACTCCGTTTAAAGTCTCTTGGGTCCATCTGGCAAAGTAATGCCTATGTTGCTTTCCTGAGGACGTAGGATTCTTTTAGATTCATGAGGAAAGAATTGTGGCCACTGGCCAAGGCATGGGCTGATGCCAAGTCGGGAATAGGTAGAAATATCTTTTTCAACTTTGTTATAGACATTATTTAGGGAAGTCTTCTTGGCTATCCCTTATTCATAACCCAGAGAAAAGGAAAAGGGAGGCTGAGAGGTCTGGGTTTTGACTTTGTTACTATGTGTGTCATCCGTAGTGGAACTATCTCTAGAAAAGCGAGATGAGAGTTTATGCTCTATTTGTTGCTGATAAGGCTTCCTTTGGTACACTGGGTTTGGTTCTGGGCAGTGCATGTTAGGAAGGACATAGAAGGAGAAAGTAAGAGGGCTAGAGAGCATGCCACATAAGGATAAGTTGAAAGAACTGGGGATTTTCATTAGGCAGGACAAGATTTCTCTATCTGCAGCTATTTGAAGGACAGTCCTGTTGAAGAGGGAATTGGCTTGTTCTGCTTGGGCCCAGAGGGCAGAACTGGGAGAAATGGCTGGAAATTTACAGAGAAGGAAAATACAGAAAAATACAGAGAAGGAAATTTGAAGTTAATGTAAGGAAAAACTCCTTAGCAATTAGAGCCCTTGGAAAGTGCAGTGGACTTCCAGGGTCAGTGGGTTTCCCCATCAGTGACCATATTCCAACAAAGGACAGATGATCACTTGTTGGATGTTTTAAAGGGAGTTCTTGGGGAATAGGGTGCACTAGATGGCCTCTGAGTGCCCTTTCAATTCAAAGATTTGGGGATTCTATGAAGCCACAGTTTCCTGGAAAGGGGAAAGGGTTGAGCTAATGGTCTCTAGGAATTGTGAGATTCTAGGAGTTGGGATGAAACAGATAAGGGGATCCTTGAAGGAAGAAATGACATTACAGGCCTAAGGGCTGGCTTACCCAGTGCCCTTTGCACTTTTGGTCACTACAGTAAGAAGGAGTCATTGTGGTGTGGGACTGAACCTGGGCCCTTGAGGGCTTTGCCAGCGGAGCCTAAGCCCTGGCTGATTCTACTGAGCTGGAAAGACTCAGAAGTGTGCTTAGCTGAAGGATGTATTTCTGTGGTCCCAGGACTGGACTCTGGCTTCAGAAGCCCTTCCCTAGGTTAGCCACAAGGTTCTAGATGTAGAAACTCACAAAGACCATCTCCTAGGGCCCAGAGAACTGGGGATCTGCATTTGGGAAGAGAGCACCCAAACCAAGGAAATTATGGAGCCCGGAAGATTGATAGCATGTAGTGGGGAATAGTCATGGGAGGGAGTATAGAGTGAAGGCCTGAATTAGGCACAAGAGGCCATAGGAAAAGGATAGGTCGAGTTGGAAGCAGGTGCTCAGTCTGGGATGGAATGGGTGAAGAAGAAGGCTGAAGAATGCAGCAGGGTTAGCAAAGGGAGGGATAACGTGGCAACCTGAGTGGCCCGAGTGTAGGAAGTGTGAAGGGGAAACACTGTCATGGTGACTTGTTTTAGGCCTTTCCCTTCAGGCACCTCTTTGCTTGGTGTGAACAGGTCTATCTGTCTGTTTGCGTGGGCAGCTTCCTCCATGCCGTGCTCAGAAGTCACAGATTCCTAATTACTGAACAGGAATATCAGCCAAGTTATACCTTCAATGTCATAGACTCACAGACCTGGAGCTGGGAGGGACGCTGGAGGTCAGCCGGTCCTACACCTTCATTTTAGAGGTCAGGGACAATCGAGGAGCAGGGAGCTGAAGGCATTTGCTCATGATCACAGGTAGGAAGGAGCAGAAGGAGAAGGATTGCCAGCCCAAGGTCTGCGCTGCACTCATGTCTCATTTTGGCCTTCCCAAGATAAACAGGACATGTACACATAGAATCCAGAGGAGGGAGATTGGCATGATGGGTGAAGGCAGTGGATGGGAGACACTACTGGATTTGGAGTCTGAGGCACAGGGTTCAAATCCTGCTTCTGCTTCTTATTCCTTGGACAAATTACCTTCCCTTTCTAGGCCTCAGTTTCCTCTCCTGTAAAATGAAGGATTAGACTTCATAACTTCTACTATTCCTTCTGTTTCTAAAGCCTATGATCACAGTGTCATAGATTTAGGGCTGGATAGGGCTGGATGCTCTCGTGACTTTGACCTTTCTCACATGAGGTTGAAAGGTGAAAGGAATGTCTAACCTTGAGGTTAAATTACTTGCTCAGAGTCATACAGCTAGTGAATTTCAGAGCCAGCATTCAAACCTAAGGTCTCTGGCTCTCGATCCATGTCCATTTCATTGCACCCCACTGCCTTAAATGACTTGTGAACATTCAAGTAGCTAGCAAGTGTTGGAGCTGGGAGCCAGCCTTATGTTCTCCTATCTCTGTCTTTCCATCTGTCTGTCTGTCTGTATTTATCTTTCTAAATTTTGACCTCCATGACAATGGGGACCATGTCTTATAATTCTTTGTATTTAGCTCTGATTCTTCTTCCGCCCCCCACCCCAGGTGCATCCAGCACAGAGCTAGGTGTATAGTAATCTACCCAATAAACACATATTGATTGACTAACAGACTGATGGAGACATTTGTTGCATCTACCCAGTAGGGAGACCAATGCTGGAACTCCTGAGTGATAGATCCCAGAGGCTGGCCAGACAACCCCAAGGTTTTTAGGTGGAGATAGACCAAGTAGGGAAGGAGATGCTGTCTGCTACCTTGCTGTGTATTAGTAATAGCAATAATCTATTTCTGTAGTGATATACGGTTCACAAAATGGTTTCTTCATATAAGCCTGGGATGGAGACAGTCCAAGCATTATCATTTCTATTTTACGGATGAAGAAATTGAGTCTGAGAGGTCAAGTAACTTGACTATGGTAGTGTAACTAATAAGTTTCAGAGGCAAACTTCAAACTCAGGTCTCTTGACCGAAAGCCCAGCACTACCACCCCATGATATGTCCTAAGCCTTAGTTTCTCCTTTTGGTAGCTGCTTCATTGAGTGGGCTTCTCTTCCTCTCTCTTGGTTTTCTGTAATGAACTTCTCACCTCTCAGCCCGAAGCCTTCTTTTCTTTGTGACTCAGACTGATGACTGCCTTCTTCTAGGTAAGAGAATCTCTCAGGGCAAGGTGACATAGATATGCAGAGGCCAGGGCTCTTGAATGAGGGTTGAAGGGAAGGGAAGGAGGCTGACAGGGCCAGGGTAGCTGGTATCTCTTTACATTCCACCTGCCTTTGGCCTTTGTTGCCCTGGTTATTTACCAGGCCTGGCTACTCCTCCTCCCCTGACCGAGCCTCAGAGTTGAGTTGATGTTTTCCCTTGCTCTTCATCCCCATCGTCTTTCAGCCTCTTCTCCTTCTCTCTGGTGCCTCCCACCTCCCCAGGTGCCTATTTTGCATCTTTTTTTTTCAATGGCTATGATTTTGACTGACTTTCAGCTCATCCCCCAAATGTCAGCTAATAATAGTCTCAGAATAGTCACTAACACCCAATTCCAACTCAATCCCCAAAGCACTTATTATGCACATTTTTTGTACCACACATTGTACTAAGTACTGAGGATGCAATGACAATAACAAAAGAGTCCTTGCCCTCAGATAGCTTACATCCTATTGGAGGCAGGCGATATATAGACAGAGAAGTAAATTAATGATCATTTGGGGTGGAAGGAGCAATCACTAAGAATAGACATAGTGGCAAGAATACTCAACTTGGAATCAGAAAGACCTGGTACTTACATGGGACCTACAACCTTAGAAATCCTAGACTTATGTTTAAGTCACTTAATATCTCCAAGCCTGGGCTTGGTGTCATGGGTCCCAAGTTCAAATCCTGACTGCCAATTACTATCTTTGGAAGCGTGGGTCAGTTAACTTCTCTGGGCCTCAGGTTTCCTCATCTGTAAAATGAGGGGGTTGAATTAAATAATCCCTAAAGTTCATTCTAAATCTAGATCTCTGCTACTAAGTCAGCAGTTAGTAATTATTTTACAGATGGGCAAACAGAGACTCAAGAAAGGGAAGATTCTTGCCCATCCCAGATCATATAGG